AATTCTGCATACCAAAGTACTTTAAATTACATTCTATTACATTTTCCCACAAGTAAAAAGCCACTAGCAAAAGAGTCATGTTCCTGTAATCTGCACATCTCATCTGCGCCCTTCCGGAGGTACTCTACTGCTTTCATAAATAAGTCAGATAAAAAAGAAGAGGTAAATAAAAAATAACAAGTAAAGACAACCTAAATGGATGGATAAGTGAAGAACGTTTTTGTATTTGTATACACAAATGAAATATGAAAACCAGGGCCGGATTAAGGTCTCGATTTTTATTGAGGGAAATAGTGCCCCCCTCATGCGCGTCAATGAGTTTTTTAATTGTTCAAACAAATAATAACATGAAAGAACTACAGTTTTTTGACGTTTTAATTTTTTTGCATGACTTTCTTTATTCCTACAGCTTAAATTTTGTAGTTATATTCTTAAAAATTTACAACCAGGGCCGTATTAAGGCAAAAGGGGGCCTGAGGATAAAAATGTAGGGGGGCCTTAAAGTTTTTTTTATTACAATACAGAGCGCTTAAAAATTAACAAAAGATGAATATTCTCGAAATTAATCTACACTTGAAACAATTGTTTTAAATTTTGAAAAAACATTTTTTGGTTGTAAAGCAATAAATTAAATTTAATAATACTAAAAGGCAGGAAGACGAAAGTCGTTAGCCTTTTGGATTTCCAATAAAGTTTATTATTATTATTAATACTAAATTGTAATTTTATTTTATTTATTTTTCCTTTTGCAAAAATTGGCACACAAATCGCAAAAAAAGTTTTTTGAAAGAAAAATATATACAAACTACGAAAAATATTTTTTTTTTTGTTTTTTGAAAAAATTTAAAATTGGATAAAGTATTAAGTTTAATTTTATTTCTTTTTTTTTTTTCATGGATAATTTGACAATACATTTTTGTAGTTTGCATTTTTATACTTAAAATTTTTCAATAAAATTTAGTACTTTTAGTCTTTTTGAGCTGTGGTGAATCCAGATTTTGTTTACAAAAATCGCTAATATGAATTCTTAAAAATTTACTCTTAAAAACTGACATAGTAGGCCTTGAATTTTGTAAATATTTGGTGTTTTTGCTCCAAAAATACAGTTTATCAAGATCTACAGTTTAAAACAAATACGGTTAAAATCGCACAATAAATATCTTTATAAAGATTTTACAGGGGTGAGTCGCAAACAAATGGGTTACACTGTAGATGGCGTTTCAAAAATAAAAAATAATGTTTTTATAAATCTCTAAAATTTCAGCCTGCTGCAGCTTGGCCAAGTTTTGTAAAATGAAATGCTTTATAACTCGCAAACTACTCGACGAGTAGTAGTATTACTCGCAAACTACTCGACGAGTAGTAGTACTCGTGTTTTGGCATAAGCGACACCCTGTAGATTTGTTTTAAATTTTTATTTTGTAATTCTTAGTTTAACATATTATGTAGATTGAACCCTCAGTATTTTTAAGCACGATATTTTTCCTGTAATAATTAATTAAATTAAAGATGTGATTTTGTAATAGATTTTCAGGTCGTCACCCTAATATAACAAGGTTGTATGGTCAAAAACCGAAAAATTTGAGTTTATACTTCTACAAGGTTTTATGTAACCCACCCTTGACATACAACTTGAAAATAACTCTATATATATGTATACATAGAAATTCTATGATAGAATATACATTCTATAGAATTATTTTTAAGTGGTATGTGAGGAGTAGGCCACGTATAATCCTGTAGAAACATAGACTTACATTTTTCGTTTTTTTTTAACATACCTATAACCTTGTTATATTAGGGTGACGAGGTGTTTTATTTTTGATAATGATTATATATATTATTATGTATATTTAGTAAGTTTTAAGTATTTTTTTAGCTTATTTTTTAAATTTATATATTTTTATAAAATTGTGTATTTAAAAAAAAATGTTATACAATACAAAGGGTGTTGGATACTTTGCTTTTCCTGATTTTTTATAAAAGTTATTTTCTTTCTTGAAAAATGGCGTTAATTTAAATATGAATATATTACAAGAAAAGGCATTTATTATGTAAAAAAAACTAAACAACGCTGTATCTGATGAACTGAAATATTACATGGTTGACAGATTATTTTATGACAGTTAAAAACTTAATTTTTTTTATTTTTGAAACGCCATATATTTTTTTAAAATTATCTTAATGGTGCGTTTTCATAAATTAGGTTTCAATTTATTAATTTTAATATTTTGAGATTAATTTTTTAAATAAAAAAGTGGAAAACAATTTTTTAATTATGTTTCAAAAATAAAAAGTTAAAATTACAAAGGTTTAAATTTTTTGGCAGAAAGTGCCAGAAAAAACATAATATATATATATATATATATATATAATACATAATACATAATATACATATCGCATATGGGCGACAACAGTGTCATAAGTAGTAAAAAATTAATTTCGAGATAATGACCGTAAAAGATTTTTGAATAATAAAATTCTGACATTTTTGTAAAATTATATTAACTTACAGCGTGTGTTAATATAATTTTACAAAAATGTCAGTATTTTATCATTCAAAAATCTTTTACGGTCATTATCTCGGAATTAAGGTTTTACCATTGAGTACCCACTTCTTTACTCAATGGTTTTACTACATATGACGCTGTTGTCGCCCATGTGCGATATATGTATTATTTGGTTTCCATAACGATAACTTTTAGATGCGTGATATAACCGTTGCCAATTTTTTTTAACTTTCATAAAAAATATAGGTGAATATATTGAGATGTCCCCCAAGTGAAAATGATTATTTTTTATTTTTGGTTGTTTCACTGTTAGTATAGAATGGGGTTTTTTGAAAGCCACCAGGTCCAGTAATAACATAACATAAGTGGTTCTGCACTAATGCAAGAATTTTGAGAAATCAAACATTTTGAATATTATAGCTTCACGGAAGATAGCTTCTTGTATATTTGAAATAAGTTATTGTATCTTTTGACACCTTAATATTTAAAAAAATACATTTGTACCTACATAAAATATTTATAAAAAAATCTACTTACTGAGATATTACACTTCACGGTGGATAGGTTTTTAAATAGCAAATAAATGAACTTAAACTTTTGAATTATAAAACAGCAACACTCTCATCTGCATATAAATTCTAACTGACCTTCAGGAATCGCATGCATCTATAATGTCGTAAACAGAGGTTTTTGCTTATTTAAAATAATTAAAGCGCCATCCGTTGCATAAAATTTAAAGCAAAAACAGATTCACGGAGGATAGAATCAATTTTTGTAACACCTATAGAAATGGTTATAAAAATTATTTCTTTTAATTTGTAATAATATTTTATATTTGATATTTTGGATGTGTTTAATTTACTTTGTGAACTGATATTTTTAGTATGCTTTTACTACCTCAGATATTTGAAAACATATAGGTTAACCTAGAAAGAGTAACAGTCACGGAGGATAGGTTTTAGACCTTTAAAACATTATAAAAAATGATTAATTGCGGTTACAAATCTGGAACCTGAGCTGTAATATCTACTTAATTATAAAAGATCAAAACACAATAAAAGTGTAGGTCAAACTCATTTAGTTTTATGAAATATCACGGGTAGGGTTGGGAAAATTTCACTTTTAGCTTGTACTTGAAATTTCACTTGAAATTTTCACGACATTTATGAAATTTATTAAAATTTCCTAAATGTCTGAAATTTTATGAAATTTATGAAATTTATTGAAACTTCCAATAAATTTCAATCACTTGAAATATATTAATATTGAAATAAGCCCACTCGGTGACCATGGCAAATTGTCTCTCTTACCTCCCTGCACCAATAATATAAATAGTAAATACCTATGTTTACCACAAATTTCTTGAGATTTCCTTTTCAAATATTTTTAAAATTACTAAAACTAAGAGAGATATAGCACTTTTTGGTAAGCTAATGAGATTGTGCCACTTTAATTGTTTTATATATATTTATATTTATTTATTATTTATTATTTTTATATATTTTACTGAAATTTTACAAAAATTGAAGAAACTTCATCAAAATTTTATGAGCCAAAGGCATTTTTTATCCATGGAAAAAAATGCCATTTCCATTTTTTATCCATGGAAAAAAAAAATGCATTTTCCGATACAATTATAGCAAAAGTTTAAATTAATCATGACTTTTAAAAAAATGTTAAAGTCTGATTTAATTTACAAATTAAATTGGTAACTGAATTAAATTATTTAAATTAATTTATGCATATAAGTAACAATAATTACTTATAGTGTATTCACATCCAAGCCGAACTAAACAAAAACGCCCAGACGCTTGATAACTTGTTCTTATTGGTCGATTCGGAATCTGTTGTAAATTATTATTAAAGGTCCCAGGGGAGGCCGCATGTGAAATTTATGCGAAATTTTCAGTAAATTGCGAAACTTTCAATGAAATTTCTGAAAGTTTCACACGAAATGTTGAAATTTTCAAATTGAAAATTTCATTTAAAATTTTCAAAAATTTTTCCAACTAAATGAAATATTTCAAGTTTAAAACTTTCAAAGTTGAAATTTTCATTTGAAAATTTCAACTGTTCCAACCCCATCCGGGGACATTTCATGAGATTCACGCAAATACAATTTTTTTTAATTTTACCAAAAGCTTAATGCTATCTAAATAAATCAGATAAAAAAGGTAGACCTGTAAAAACAACAAGACTAAAGAGAGAGGACCTTCTGGCCCGTCATGTCATCATTTTAAGTCGAGTCAACCCCCCGTGGACTCGACATCGCAGCCAACTAACCAAAAAGGGCCTGTGGCGCGTCCGGACGGACCACTTACCAGCCAAAGCTTCTTTGGGAAGCATCGCAAGTCTGCTTTGGCGTGTTGATGGTGCCATGTGCTTTTGCTGACGCAAGGATCTCACGTTGATACTCGATCTGCTGCAGTACTAGTTTTTTGTTTATGTTGTGACTTATTTGTGGATATTGTGGATACTACTTGCAATAACATGGCCTGGAGCAGAGCTTTGATGGTCTTAGTTTTAGGTAAGATTTTAGTCATTTTTTAATCAAAAATGTTGTTTGTGTAGGTTTAAAATTATAATAGTATTTAAGGGTTTTTAATTACTTTTTTTGGTATTTACAGCAATAGCAATAACAAATTTGTCATTATTTTTTAATGTCGTTTGGATATTTTGTTTTACTTTTATAATTTTATTTGAGATTCTTAATATACACTCACAGGCAAAATAATCGATCCACACAAATTTTTGATGAATTTCAATCGCAAATAACTTTTTTATTTAATTTCGGATTTAAACAAATATTAAATAATTTTATAGATAAATTAATGGAGAATTGCTCACATTTTAAAAATTACTAAAAAGTAGACGTACGTTTATAATATACAGGTTTAAACAAAAATATGTTTTTTACATTAAGTTTAAAATGTGTAAAATATGGATTTAAAAAAAAAATTTCAATTTCCAATATTTTTTCTGTACGAAGAACTAAGGTTGCTATGGTCCATCCATAGCCTATGGAGGATGGCAGTGACAGTTTTGTTGAATAATCCCATACTTGGACATGTCATATACAGCTTTCAAAAGCTATCAAATTGTTTTTTGTAAATTAATGTGTTAATTTTGAGGTGTCTTCTTACTTTTAAAAATGTATATTTCTCCGACTAATGTTGCCTTTTGTACTTTACTTCTTGTGACGTTTAAAACAATTGCTACGTAATACTGTGACCGTCCATCCTGAATTAAATCAGTGGCTCTGGCAACATCAGTCGGAGACATATCTATTTTTAAAATTAAGAAGACACATCAGAAGTTAAACATTAATTTGCAAAATAATTTGATAGCTTTTGAAAGCCGCGTATGTATATGATTCAACAAAACTGTCACTGTCATCCTCCATAGGCTATGGATGGATCATAGCAACCTTAGTTCTTCGTACAGAAAAAATACTGGAAATGGCAAAGTTTTTTTAAAAAATCCATATTTTCCACAAAAATAAATATATCGAAGCGAACCAAAAACAAAACTGTTAAAAGTAGATGTAAATTAATAATTAAAACTTAATTTAGAACAATATACGGTTTAGCCACTCTACAGAGTGTCTTAAACTTATGATAAAAAACTTCCTTTTGTTTAAACCTGTATATTATAAACGTTCGTCTATATTTTAGTAATTTTTTATATATAATTATATTATAATGTGAGCGATTCTTCATTAATTTATCTACAATATTCTTTAATATTCGTTTAAAATTCATCGAAAATTTGTGTGGATCGATTATAATAATTATTTTGCTTGTGTGTGTATTTTATTATTAAAAAAAAATAACTTGTAGGTATAGTATTGTATAGTCCCCAAAACAAATTAACATTTTTCGAGAAGTAATTTTCGAAAAGTAATTTTCGAGTTACTTATATAATATACAGGGTGTTTCTACTTAAAATGGACAAGGTAATAGAGGTTGTAGATGTCATCGAGACTATGTAAATATTTTATAATCAAGCTTTTGTTTCTAAATTATCGACAATCTTTTTTTTATACCTCTTTATCCTTATTGGTTAATTCTTTTGTTAAAAAGGTTTAATTTCCACAAAAAAAATGTATGTTTTTTTTCTACTCCCACCTTTTAAACGCCCATTATCGTACATGTTTCCATGACAATAATTGACAAGTTGTGGCTTTAAGGCGCTTTAGTCACGGGCTGAAGTTAGCAACAGGTTTTTAGTCACGGGCTAAAGTTAGTTAACAGTTGATATATCATATATCATATCATATATGTCATACAATCGTTAAAATAAAGTGCATTTCTTGTAAAATAATACTAAATGTGAAAATTATTTTATTATCTCAATACAAAAGTAGAAAAGTATTAAACAGGTTCTTGACGCTAATATTTACAAAGATTATATGAACATTTGTACTGACCTTTTGATTTCGCCGTAGTAGTTTAACTGATAAAGCGTTATAAATTTTGCGTAGTGTCCATTAAACATTATCTTCTCTTTTACTGTGAAAAACTTCTTCTATATCGGTTTTTAGTCTATTTTTAAGGGATAAATTTTGATTTACACATACAAATTTTAGATTTTAACGCCGGTAGATTCCCAAGTTACAAATTCTAACAGGAATTCCAATACATACAACTGTCACTTTTTGTACCTTTAACATTTCCCATTTAAGAATTTTTAATACTTTTAATACTAGTAATAAAAAAAATCAAAGGATAAAATATTTTATCCGAAATCGGCAGTAAAGTAGAACTTTACTGCTGATTTAATACGAGTATTGTATGCAACCCATTATACATTTTAAGATGTGTCTACTGCTACTCAGCAGCAACTAAATAATATTTAAAAAAAAGCACCGTCGCGGAAATCGATTGCACCCTTTCATAAAATGTTTAATAAAAATAATAAGTTAATTTTATTAATTAGATTAAAAAATCGCCGCGGCGGGCAAATATATCATGACCGTCGCAACAATGTGTACGTAGACACTTCCTACATTCAAATAACATTTGGTTTGATCATCAATATTAATAATTAGTATTATTAAATGTGATTTCGGATAAAATTTAATATGCACCCGGCATTAAAGTCATTTTTTATCACTCACGTGGTTATTTGCCTCGGCTTTCGTCTCTGCAAAAATTTTCACATTCGTAATAAAAAATACGACTTTACTGACTTGATACATAAATAACTATTCATTATTTTGTTCTATTTTATATTACATTCCAGCACATTTTTTTCTTTAATAACCTCAAAATAAAAATGTCATAATAAAACTTAATATTCCATGTACTTAAACACAGCAAAAAAATCATTAACATTTTAATTTTTAATGACCCGATCACAAAAGTGATTTATTATCTCCGTAATATCCCGAAACCAGAACCCTATAAAAACACCACTCTCCAAAAACCCAAAGAACGAAATACAAGAAACGAAAAAAAAACGTGGAAACGACACTTAAAACCTACAGGATGTGAAATTATTATTGAAACTGTACAACCAGACGCCGTGCTTAGCGCTGATTTATTGCCTTGTCAAGTCGGGGGAGGGTCCAGCAAGTGACACAAAGTCATTTCGTTTTAATTTAAATCGTTTCTAAAGCACCATCAGCTGCGATATGGCCAATTTAATTCCAATATTATTTTTGTAAAAACTGCCAACAATAATAAAATATTTGTTAGTACGAGTGTATAGGTGTATATGTTACGGCTAATGTGCAAACTTGGATAGTTTATAAACTAGCTGGATAGTTTATAAACTAGCCAAACTGTCAGCTATTTTAATTGAAAATGAATTTTCAACTAAATTAGCGGCTAGTTTACAAAATAACCAAGGATCTTGGCTAATTTACTTAAAATTATTAGGGAAACTAAAATAGCTGGATAGTTTGTATACTATCCAATTCAGTTTGGCTAATATGAAAACCAAAATTTCTAGTAACACAAAATAGTCAAGCTTTAGCTAGTTTGTAAATTAACCAACCAATTATAAAAAGTTATAAAGTTATAAAGTGCTCTTTTAGTTCCACCCTTACATCCAAACTAAGATGTCCCATAAGCCAACTGAATGGCTTGTGCGGGTTAGGGGTAGGAACGGACCGACGGCTTAAAGTCCCCTCCGAAGGACTAATTCTCTGGCTAATTTATTAAAAAAGTGAGGTTACGGCATTGTTTTTCGGTTTGCCGGCTTAACCGAATTTATTTTGTGCATTTTAACGTTTTTAAAATGAATCATAGGCAAAATTTTAACGCTTCCTTGTTAGAAAACTCAACAACACAACCCTACCGACCCCGCCCCATTGGTCAAATGGTCAAAAATGAGAAAATAACCCAAACCCACCCAAACTCAACAACACAACCCAACCGACCCCGCCCCAGCTAAAGCTTGGCTATTTTGTGTTACTAGAAATTTTGGTTTTCATATTAGCCAAATTGAATTGGATAGTATACAAACTATCCAGCTATTTTAGTTTCCCTAATAATTTCAAGTAAATTAGCCAAGATCCTTGGTTATTTTTTAAACTAGCCGCTAATTTAGTTGAAAATTCATTTTCAATTAAAATAGCTGACAGTTTGGCTAGTTTATAAACTATCCAAGTTTGCACATTAGCTGTAACATATACACCCTAAAATTTTAATTTGGATATTTTTGATGATTTAAAATGTATAATATATACAGGGTATGTGATATTTTAATAATTATAAGTCATATTTGACTTGACAGCTAGACAGTATATTTTTATGAAAAATTTATTCAAATATTATATCACGAGAACTATGAATTTAATCGGTTAAACTAGGCTCAGTAGTTTTTTGTTTGGTTTTTGTTGGAAAATGTTGAATGCAAAATAATTTAATAAAATCACGAGACCGCGTAGCGGTCGAGGGGTTTTATTTTTAATTATTTTGCATGAAACTATTTTCCAAAAAGAAAAATCAAATAAAAAACTTACCGAGCATAGTTTGACAGATTAAATTTATAGGTCAAGTGATATACATCTAGATTATTTCTCGAATTAAAGGAAACTATTTGACAATTCATAAAATCTGACGTATGTGTCAAAATTTATAAATATTTTTTTAAAGAAAATTCCATTAATTTAAGGTATGTAATAAGTAATAATTGATATTTCGGAAACTAGATAACTTATTTTTTATTGTTTTTTAAAAAATGTTTGTTAAAACTTGTAAATAACACCATAAAATCGTAAACAAAAATCCAATATGGAGGCTAAAATTTAATCGCTATTAAATAGTTCTAGTGATTTAATCGCTTATTTAATCTAAATTCAAGGCTTTTGATTGGTTGATATTATAATAAGGGAAATAATCACTGAAAAAATGGACAACCATTAAGAATAATTATTTATTTTAAAATTATTTTAATTATATACAGGGTGTTGCACATTTACGAAATACGGGTGTATCACGTTCGTGGTCCATTGAGAGTTTCTGAGGAACGGCAAAAGATATCGATTTAATTTTTAAAGCGTCAATCAAAAATAGCCTA